GATGGCTCAGGTTCCATGCTCAAACTTCCAGTCTAGCTCTGTGATTTAGTTAAATCACTCTGTACTCTGAGCACCAGTGTCTTTTTTGTTTTTATAGAGTTTAAAGTGAAAATGAATTTATTAGTGAAGCAGCGAGACAAAGAATGGGCTAATCCACAGACAAGGCAGCCTGCACACCAGTGTCTCAATCTGAAAAATGATAATAGCTATTTTACAAATCGACTGCAAGGACCCAGTAAAATACTTATGAAAGTAGGGCCCTGTGATGGGTTTATTTTTCTTCTGTCGCTGTCTTAAATTTCTTAATTTAAAAAATATATGTTTTTATTTATTTTTTAGAGAGAGAGGAAGGGAGAGGGAGAGACAGAAACATTGATGCTCCCTACTGGGGATCAAGCCTGAAATGCCCCTGACCTGGAATCAAACTGGTGACCTCTTGATACATGGGACGACACTCAATCCACTGAGCCACACTGGCTGGATGAAATTCTTAAATTTTGAAGGAGGAACTCCACATTTTCATTTTGTGCTGAACCCTGCAAATTATGTAGCTGGTCCCAATTTTGCCCTTGGCCAAATCATTTAAAACCTCTCGGAGCTCTACAGCCTATAATGACTTGAATTAAATTGTTAGGACAATTCCCTGTCCTTCCTTTATCTACTAGCAAAATTTGACACAGTTGTCACTCCCTCCTCTTTGAAACATTTTTCCACTTGGCTTCCAGGACACTATACTTTTCCGGTTTTGCACTGCCTCACGGGCTGCTCCTTTGCTGTTTTCTCCCTAAACACGTCCCTTGAATGTGTTCGTTGGCACTCCCAAACAAAATTCCTGATCATGTCCTGCAAACCTGCTCCTCCCAGTCTTTCTCATCTATTCAGGGCAACTTCATCCTTCTAATTGGTCAGACCAAAACTCTTGTCATAGTTTTGGTCTCTTTATCTCTCACTCTACATCCAATTTGTAAGCTGCTCCAGAATCTGACCACTTCACCACCACCATCACAGTCCAAGTCTCACACCTGGATTACTGCAAAACCTAACTCATCTCCCTGCTTCTACCTCCTCCCCTGTGCTCAGTGGTCTGTTCTCTACACAGTCGCTAGAATAATCCCTTAAAAATATAACTCGGGCCCGGCCGGTGTTGCTCAGTGGTTGAGCATTGACCCATGCACCAAAAGGTTGCCAGCTCGATTCCTGGTCAGGGCACATGCCCAGGTTGTGGGCCAAACCCTCAGTAGGGGGCATGCAGGAGGCGGCCAATCGATGTTCTCTCTCATCGATGTCTCTCTCTCTCTCTCCTTCTCCCTTCTTCTCTCTCTCTAAAAATTAATAAAGAAAAAAATATAGAAGTAGGTCACATCACTTTTCTGTTCAGAGCCATCCCATGAATATGCACCTCAATCAGAGTAGAAATCCTCACAGGAGGACCAAGCCACGTCTGTGAACCCTCCTCTTACCAGTCCCTCACCTCAGGCCATTTGTCAGTGCCCCACTGCCTGGAATGCCCTCCCAGATATCAGTTTGGCTGGCCCCTCACCTCCTTCAGTTCTATTCGACTGTCCCCCATCAGTCAAGCCTTCCCGAACCCCTGTTTTAAAATAGCAACCACCATCAACTTTCCCTCCTCACTTCCCATCCTGTCATTACCTGCTCACTTTTCTCCAAAGCACTTATCACCATCTGCCATGTATCATATTTTTTTTTTATTTGCATATAGAGACTTTGTCTTTTAATTGCTACATCTCCAGCACATAGGACAGTGCCAGTAAATGATGGTAGAAAGTTCTGGAACAGGTGATGTTATCATTATCATTGGGTTATGGTTGCATCAGCCCCTCTGAGCGTATACAGTACTTTCACAGGCCGCATGCCCACAAAGCCGGTCCTGCATACAGGAGAGAGGGCATTTATGGCGACTACTGTGGGCCAAGCCTCCCACTAGACTAAACTGTGGGGATAGAAAAGCATGTTTAAGAGTTTGTGGCCTAGAGGGAGATTTCATAAATTTATGCAAATAACTCTAGAACAAGGCAACATTTGTTAAAAATATCCAGCCTTTAATGCCTAACATCTCACATTCTGGCAGTGACGCTTGAGTTTTCTACAGAGAGAAGGGACAATGAACTATGGTTTGTGAACTTACTGTGTGGCTATTTCTGTCCCAGACAAGTTCCTGCTCTAGCCTGCTTATCACACCAGAGACACCTTGCTTGACTTCCAATCTAGTTTGCTCCAAAGTCCCTCCTCCACTGGCCCCCTCTACCCAATACCACCCCCTAATTAACTGTTCACTTGAGAGACCACCCTCTTATAGTCCCTCCACATTCTGCTCCTAGATACAGAAAACATGAGGCAGGGTTGGGATCAACTTAGGAAGGTTGCAATAGGAAATAATCTAAATATTTCCTTATGACAAAGGTGTGCATCTCTCTCTATGAATCTACACTACATAGAACTCAGGGGCTACATCTGTTCACCTTTGTGACTTGACAGCCTTGCTCAGTATGTGGTACACAGTGGGCATTCAGTTAGGTTTGCTGGATTGTTGGTGTGGGTGTCACCAGCTCTGAGTCAGGATAATCCTGTTTAAAAAGCACTTTCATATCTCCTTTAAGGTGCCCCAGAGGTATTCTATAAGGTTATTTTATTTAGCTGTCATAAGAAGCAACCTAACCAGTAAGAATTAAAACATCTCAAATAAAGGGACCGATATTTAAAATGCCAATTTAAATTATAAAGTGCTATTATTTGATAATTTTCAAAGTTTCTTTTAATTTTCATGTGATTTCTTTAAACCCTCTATCTGAAAATCCAAAAATAATCAAGAGGTAAATTGCAAAGCATGTCTTCCATTCCCCACAGGACTCATTTGAATAGGGATTCCCTGAACTTATCTGAATTTTTAGATAGAGACTTGTGAGAAAGAATGAGGAAATGAGGAACTTGAAGCTAAAGCTAAGTTTTGGCAGTGGGTACTTGTGTGTGTGTGTGTGTGTGTGTGTGTGTGTGTGTTATATAATTCTCAATACTTTTCAGTGTGTATGTTCACATCACACATACATTTTTGTACTCAGGCAAGATCAAGCGTAAGAAGATAGCCCATCTTATAATTAGTAAAAGATGCTGTCAGTAATAAGTTAGAACATTTGGGACAGATAAGTCCTTCCTTAGTTCTCAGTTTCTTTGTGTATATAACGTAGGTGGAGGCACTAGATGATTCCAGGGGCCCTTCAGTTCTAATGCCTTAAAAGTCTATGTAGGGGCACCTATTCACATTATAAAGGATCTCTTTAAAATTTTCTCTGTTCTTAAATGCCTTTAAACTATGACTTGGGCCCTGGCCGGTTTGGCTCAGCGGTTAGAGCGTTGGCCTGCAGTCCGGAGAGACCCGGGTTCAGTTCCCGCTAAGGGCATGTACCTCGGTTGCAGTTTGTCCCCGGCCCTGGTTGGTCGTGCGAGTAGCAGCCACTCGATGTGTCCCTTTCACATCGATGTTTCTCTCTCTCTCTCTTCCTCTCTCTCCCTCCCACTCTATCTGTACAAAAAATGGAAAAATGTCCTCGGGTGAGGATAAAAAAAATAAAATAAAATAAACTATGACTTGGTTTTCTGCCCTGGCTGGTGTGGCTCGGTTGGTTGGAGCGTCCCAGTCAGGGCACATACCCAGGTTTCAGGTTCTATCCCCAGGACTGGGGCACATACAGGAGGCATGTTTCTCTCTCTCCTTTTCCCTTCCTCACTCTCTAAAATAAATTTTTAAAAAGTTAAAGAAAAAAAACTATGACTTGATTTTCCAAAATCTGATTACTATATTTTTATTATTAATAAAAGCAACTAACAATTAAGCAAATTCAACATCAGGCACATAAAATGTCTTATTTTTTTATTATTTGATTCTGTCATCCCAATAACTCCATGAGGTAGATGATGATATTGTCCACATTACAGAGAGGTAAAGTGGCTAACTTGCCTAAGGTCACTGAATTAGGGATGGTGGCTACACTGAATTTAAACTTTTCAATTCAACCTGTGACTCTAGAGCATGTTGTTAACCCTGCATCTCCAGACGGGCTGCAGGAATCAGGAGGTGATCAGTGTTCCTTCCTCAGTTAAACCACTGGTTCTCTGTGCTTTTTGCCTTCACAGTGAGGTAACCAGTTGGAGATGGGGTGATTCCTTTGGCTTCAACTTTATTTCTGTGACGTATTGTGGTGATATTTCCATTAGGAAATGCTTCTTGACCTTACCTGGATGAGTAACAGTGGGTTTCACTAGTTACCTTTTTTTTTTTAATCCTCCCTGAGGATATTTTTCCATTTTATCTTCAGATGGAGTGGGGGGAGGGGGGAGAGGGAGAGAAAGAGAGAGAGAGAGAGAAAGAGAGAGAGAGAGAGAGAGAGAGAGAGAGAGAGGAGAGAGAGACAGACAGACAGACATCAATTGGTTACCTCCCACACTACCCTGACCAGGGCCAGGGACGAACTGCAACCGAGGTATGTGCCCTTGACTGGAATCCAACCTGTGACTCTTTGGTCCAAGGGCTGACGCTCTAACCACTGAGAAAACCAGCCAGGGCTTCACTAGTTATCTTGAGTCACTTGTGAATGATCGGGTTCAAATTTGCTTTGAATTCCTATTTTGGTTCTTTACGTTTATTATCTAAGTCTATAACAGCATATACAGCAAGACTTTAAATTAGTTTGCAACAAATTAAGGTGAAAAAAAGCCACATGCAGAAAAACAATATAAGATTAATTTCACATCTGCATGGCACTCTTTATAATTTTCACATTTATTATTTTTACTTTCACAAAAACTGTGTGAGGTGGGCAAGTCAGGAATTATTTTTAACTGCTTTGCAAATAAGGAAAGAGAGCCACAGAAAGGGGTGGGTGACTTGTTCTAGGACATGGATCTGGTTAGATCCTAGACCTAATGTTCTCTCTACACTATGTCGCCCCCATAGGTAAAACAGAACTTCAGACTCAGGCACTTCTTGAAGGACAGACTCAAATGGCTGCTATTCTGGAGGCTGTGCCATGCCAGGCTGGGGCCGTGGAGCTCCTGTAGAACGAGCAACTGTGCTAGAGGATGAGGACAGAGCAGCAGCCATGACCCCTACTCACACCTGTGCAGTGTGATAAAGAAAGTAGAAATAGCCAGCAGCTGTGGTCCACCCAGATAAAATTTTTAGGCGGGAAGTCAAGTGACAAGTGAACTTGTGTGTGTGTGTGTGTTTTTAAACTGCTAATTGCTTTTGATATTTTTTTAAAAGGCAGCTTGAGGAAGTCGGACCAAATAGCAGGAAGGTATTGCAGCAAGATGGATTTGGGAAAGAACCAATCTCGTTTGACACTCCATCCAACCTCTGATCCTCATCAAGAAAAGAACCACATTCCAGGTAATGAAAGAGGTTGTAGCTATTGGGAAGAATTGGGGCTATCTATGATTATTTTCCTCTTTTTTTATGGATCTGGCAAAGAAATGAATAAAAGAGGCATGATTGAGTACATACATATAATGATAGGTAGGAAGAATTGGGGCTATGTAACTTCCTGAGGTACCTTCTAGCGCTAAGATTCTAATAAGCCAGAGAAACACAAGGAAATAATAAATTATTAATAATCAGTACATTTAAATGGAAGAGAGTGAAAATACCCCGTATTGGATGATTGTGGTAAAACAAGTACACCCTTATGTCTATGGCATAAGGATTGTGTGGTAGTGTAAATTTGGTGTAATGAGGAGAGATAGCAATGGGTAGCAGAAACTATAGTGCTTATTCTTTTGGTTCACTAATTTTACTCTTTGGGTCTATCCTAAAGCAGCATTTCTCAAAATGTTTTACAGAATTCTAGGCCTTGAGACAGTGTTTTTAAACTTTTGTGGGTCCCTTTGGCATTTTGATGAACCCCTAGATTCCTTCTTAGAGTTAATATTTTAAATGCACAGAAGGAAATACTTAGGCTTACAAAGGAAACAATTAAGATACAATTGTCAAAGGGAAAGCTGTGATATTGTAACATATGTGCTCATTTATAGATGCATTAAATAATAAGATCCAATAATGGATCTAATAATGATTGTATGAAATCAAATTTATCATCTCAAATAAACAATATTTTAAGGTATCTGGAATGACTATAATGTAATGTGAAAAAATCTGTAATTTCTTTTGGTGACAAAGACACATATTACTAAAACTACTGTGGTTTGTTACCAACATTCATAATGGAAGGAAATAGTAATTTTAATTAGAGATTGGTAAAATAAAGATATAATTTTTCCCTATTCAAGTTCATCAGTAAAGACTTCTATCCTAAGAACAAAAGGTACTATGGTCCAAGAAGTATGCTGTATTTTTGCAGGGTCCCAAAAGATAGCAAATTTGCTATCACTCCACAGGTTCTGAGAAATTCAACATCAAAGACCATTAACTTTTCTCAAACTGGGATGGAAATAGAACCTTTGTTGATGATACCTTTAATATTCCATAGAACTGCCCTGGCTGGTTTGGCTCAGCGGTTAGATCATTGGCCTGCGGTCTGGAGAGATCCGGGTTTGGTTCCTGCTAAGGGCATGTACCTTGGTTGGAGTTTGTCCCTGGCCCTGGTTGGATTGTGTGGGTGGCAGCCACTCTATGTGTCCCTTTCACATCGATGTTTCTCTCTCTCTCTCCCTCCCACTCTATCTGAACAAAAAATGGAAAAATGTCCTCGGGCGAGGATTAAAAAAAAAAAATTCCATAGAACTTAGAGAAATACCATCCTATGGAAAAAATCCAAAAGAAAAAAAAGAAAGCTGTACATATGAGTATGTTTATTATAGTTTGATTTACAATGGCAAAAAAATGACTGGCAACAACCTAAATGTTCAATACAAGTATAATAACTAGGTAAATGAGAATACATTAACCTGATTAAGTATCATGCAGTCATTAAAGTTATAATTATGAAGACCAGGTCATGGAAAATATTTCTGATATAATGTTAGGTTAATAAATGATAAAATTATGGTATGCTCTCATTACAATTTTGTGTAACATAGGAATTAGATGAATGTGAGGAGTAAAATGAAGACAGGTTATAATTTTAAGGATAGCAGAACATGGCTGATTTTTTATTTTATTTTATATTTGTACAATATGTAAAAATTATTTTGAAGAAATTAATAGGTTAGAAGCACAATTACATACAAATACTGACCTTTTCATTTTAGAAGATTTACTGTTTGCTCTTGGCATTCTTTGGAGGTACAAGGATAAATAAGGTAGAGTCCTTGTCTTCAAAAAGCTAGGAGAAGGTAGATACCCCACATAGGACTCTTGCTGATAAATGTCAGAATTCACTGCTATCTCCTATAACTTTCATTTTGATCCTACAGAAGTCATTGGAACGTGGAGTCTGCGAAACAGAGAGCAACTGAGGAAAAGAAAAGCCGAAGCACAAGAAAAGCAAACGTCACAATGGCAATTTGGGTATGGTATCCTTGCAGGGGGAAAGGAGCTGGTATTTATCCAGCAAATGCTCTGTGCCACGTACTACTGAGCACTTTCAGACACTGTATTTTATCATTCCAATGATACTGTAAGTGGGGAGCTATTATCCCTATTTACAAACAAAGGGGAAACCAAGTGTCCACTGAGTTAATCTCTTGCCTAAAGTCACACAGCTAACAAAGTGATGGGAACAGAATTTTATCTCTGGTCTCTTTTAATTAAAATATCAAGTAATCAAATTATGCTATAGAGAGAGGCCTGGTGTTCAACCACTCTGGTAATATAAATTCAGAAGAATCTTGTTGTTGGGAGCCGGAGACACTGTTGAGGAAATCTCTGAGCTTGTTCTCCGAGCTTTCTATTAGTACTCCTTATCAAATGAGTGTGATTCACTCTCCATGAAGGAAACCAAAACACTGTAAATGAGTGCTGTGAATAGGACAGTTTGGGAGTTCCTAAATCTCCTAAGTCACCTGTCATCTCAGGGAGGGAGTACAAGAACATGATTATAAATTAGGCAGCACCAAACTGCATCCATTTAGAATACGACTGTGAAAACAGAGGTACTGCTTGCTTGGAGATAGAAAAGGGGAGGCCAAGGAACCAAGGAGTGCAGCATCCATCAAAGCCAGTGTTTCTATCCCTCCACACTACTGACGCTGTGGGCAGGATACTTCTTTGTGTGAGAGGCTGACCTGCGCATTGAGGGTATTTAGCAGCATTTCTGGCCAATAGCACTCTTTCCCCCGCAGTTGTGACAACCAGAAATGCCAAGAGACAGTGTCAAATGTCTCCTACAGCAGATGGAGAGGTGGCAAAATTGCCGCCAGTTGAGAATGATCTACACACTCTTCTTAAGAAAGAGTAGCTAGCCCTGACCGGTTTGGCTCAGCAGTTGGAGCGTGGGCCTGCGGGACCAGAGAGTCCTGGGTTCGGTTCCCACTAGGGGCACGTACCAAAATAAATAAATAAATAAAGGGTAACTATTCCCTATAGGGATTGACTATTGTCTTTTCTGCTACAATACCAATTAGTGCGAATATGATTGGTAAATAGGAGAATGATGTCAATACAATGTGGAAGTTGTGCTGATTTATGATTTTTCTTAGTCAAAGGAGCCAGAATAGTGGGAATAAAATTAAAACCTTTAGCAGGAAAGAAAAAAATCTTCAGCTTGGCTGCTGTATAGGCAGGATCCTTTTAAGCCTGCATCCAGGGCTGTTCCCCAAGAGAAGGGTAGCAGATTGCACTTCCTCCCGTACCCAAATAATGGCAGCCCTGCTGGCTCAGAGTGCCTCCCTTATTTGCATGATCTCAGCACCTTCAAACCTGCACTTACACTAGTGCTTTTGTGCATTTTTTACTATCCCCTGAGGCCGCCTCCAGTCATGATAAGCTACCTGTCTGGACTACTCAAGTTATCTCAAGTACCAATTATTGTTTCTACTAGTGTTAAAAAGTTGCACAGGTTCTGAGTCATTTGCCCCCAACTCTATTTTTTCCCATAAGCACTGTTACTTTTAGTGCATGATTTTCAGAAAGTGAGTTTTTTTCAGTAATTTGTTTATTATTTTTTTAGCAGAAACGTCTGTACTTGGGTCTGTGGCAGGTGACTCTGTTGAAGAGTATCCAGTTAGCTCCCCTAATTCTATACTTGCCAAGCAATGTTCTCATCATTAGTTGGTTTCCCAAGTACTTGCTACAGAGAAAGAGTGCATTTGTTTGTCAGCGTAATTATTCCTTGCTGTGTGACTTTGCATTTTCTACTGTTCATTTAAAAATGGGTCTTTGGGTTTACACATCAGTCTATATGAGCTGGTTGATGAGCTCTGCCCCCAGTAAATGGAGCTAGTCTTAGTGTACTGATAGAATTGGGTTTGTGTGTTTGCTGGACTGGTGAACCAAGGCTGAGGAAACCACTGAGGTAGATGACACCTTGGTGAGCCTCTTGGCAAGATGGCTGGTCTTGCTCTGGTAACACATTTCTATACTGAGAGTTGTTCTCACTACAGCATACCCACACAGTGAAACCTTAGTAGTTCCAGAGAGAAGTAGCAGAGTGTAATGGCTAAGAGCCTGGCTGTTAAAGCCATGATGACTAGATTAGATGCCTGGCTCCTTTACTTATAGCCATTTGCTCTCGGACGATTTACTCACTCTCTCTGAGCCTCAGTTTTGTCATCTGCAAAATGGAGATAATAGTATCTACCTCATAAATTGATGTGAAGACTAAATAACAGAATAAAGAAATTACTTGAAACAGTGCCTGGCACATAGGAAGCACTATAAATGTTTCCTATATGATTATAGGAGTGCTTCTTTATATTTGAATAATTCATTCATATAAGTTATTACATGCAATTCTTACAACAACCACATAAGATTGGGCAGATACTATATACTCCATTTAACCTATGAAGAGACCAGGTCATAGAGAGGGTAAGTGACTTGCCCATAATCACATAGTTGATAAATGACAGAGTACAGATTAAATTTTAGGCCACATAAACATTTTTGTATCTTTTGAAAAACTACCAGGAAGAATGTGGAACATTATATTACTCAGATTTTCTCATTTAGATATCTACATAACAAATTATTTAGGACGTAATATCTAGGGGAAAAAAAATAAGTGTTTCCTGAAGAATTCAGATAATTTGACAATAAGGTTTTTATAATTTATCTTATACCTTGGTTACCTGGAGTTATACTTCAAAATGCTGAGGTGCCAAACCACCATTTTTAGATGACATTTTCTTCTCTAAAAATTTTTTTTTCCTTTATTGCTTTTAGGAAGAGAGGAAGGGAGAGGGAGAGAGAGATAGAAACATTGATGAGAGAGAACATCGACTGGCCACCTCCTGCATGCCCCCGACTGGGGATCGGGCCCACAACCTGGGCATGTGTCCTGACTGGGAATTAAACTGGCAACCTCTTGGTGCATGGGGCAACGCTCAACTGCTGAGCCACACTGGCCAAACTCATTTACTTTTAATATTTTGACTGTTCTATCACATATATACCTTTTGTATACTGACTTTAAACTGGTTTTGTTGAGGCAATCTTTAAATTATTTTTTGATTATGAAAATTTTCAAACATACACAAAATAAGGTATATACATTTTAAAGGTGTACAAGGAACTACAAAAATATAAAAGACAATAGTTTTATCACTAAAGAATTTCTAGTTTATTTAAAAAATAAGGGTTCTCCAGAAATAACTATAGATTGAGTCTTCCTAGTAAATTGTATAGGGGCACTGAGCAGGGAGAGCATTTCAGCCCTGTGGCCTGTGAGAGAAGGCTCCATGGAGCAGGTAACATGGGACAGAATTTTATTGGGTTTAGAAACATGATGAAGTATTTATTTATAGTACTTTTTCCTCCCCCCTGGGCCCATCTGTATTGGCCATCTGTATTTGGTTATATTTGCAGTACCCAACAATTTGTCACTGGCTGCAATTTCCATGTGCATCCTTTCATCTTTTAGATCTTTGATCTAGCTACTCCTTCAGAGCAGGCATGACATGACCACTCGTGACTTTCCACCAGGCTTGTTAACCTCAAAAACGTGTTTTGTTTTGTTTTGTTTTTTTTGCAGCTTATGACCCAGCTTACAGTATATCTTATTTGACACATATTATAACTACTTAACATTCTTCACACGAGACACTATATTAGATAAGCAAGCCATATACATCATCCACCTGCAGGCTGCAGAGACAGGAGCTGTGCCTAAACTGAGGATCTAGAAATGCAAATGTATGAGTTTACCCAGGGCATAGTGGGACTAACTTGCACAGACTAAACCCAAAGAGACTAGTGTATAAACCAGAATGCTAATCTGTTCACTTATAATATCAATTATCCATTTTCCATAACCAAACTTTAAGTGTATGTATGCTCTCAAACACAGATACATTCCACTTCCTGGTAAGCAAAGCTTCAGAGACACCAAGTCCCTGAGGGACATTTCTTCTTCTGACAATTTAGAACAGCTAGCCCACTCCTTCATTTTGCAAACAAGGAGGTTGAGGCCCACAGAGGTTAAGTGACTTGGTCAAAGGTTGTGCAAAAGCAAGGCAGTGGGAGACTTGGACTGTTATTACCAAGCATTTATCTGAATTCTATGGCCCTGTTGCTGACACTAATTTTGATCTCTCTCCACAGAGAGAAAAAACACAAGCGGCAGAGAACAGGAAAAGGAAATCAAAGAGGCAGAAAGAGACAACAAAATACAGAACTAAAGGTGGAGCCTCAGTCACAATTAGAAAAGGAAATGATAAAGGAAGCACTGGCACCCACAGAGAAAGAAAATGAATTACCTCGGAGTGTAACTGAAGCTCTCCCTTTGGTTGCCTCCCCTCAAAGAGTTGTACCTGAGAAAAAATGTTCTGCAATAGGTCAAGAAAGCATTATACATCAGGAAAATTCTTCTGAATATCAAGAAACAATAATGCAAAAGTACTCTTCTGAAATAGGCCAAGCTATGGCTGAACCTGAAGACTGCTCTCCTAAAATATGCCAAGAAGTAGCTGTAATTCAAGACCATTCTTCCAAAATGTGCCATGATATGGCTGAACCCAAAGACCTCTCTCCTAAAATGTGCCAAGAAGTAGCTGTAATTCAAGACCATTCTTCCAAAATGTGCCACAATATAGCTGAACCTGAGGACCTCTCTCCTAAAATGTGCCAAGAAGTAGCTGTAATTCAAGACCATTCTTCCAAAATGTGCCATGATATAGCTGAACCTGAAGACCTCTCTCCTAAAATGTGCCAAGAAGTAGCTGTAATTCAAGACCATTCTTCCAAAATGTGCCATGATATAGCTGAACCTGAAGACCTCTCTCCTAAAATGTGCCAAGAAGTAGCTGTAATTCAAGACCATTCTTCCAAAATGTGCCATGATATAGCTGAACCTGAAGACCTCTCTCCCAAAATGTGCCAAGAAGTAGCTGTAATTCAAGACCATTCTTCCAAAATGTGCCATGATATAGCTGAACCTGAAGACCTCTCTCCTAAAATGTGCCAAGAAACATTGATAGCTAAAGCCCTTCCTTCTAAAACATATGAAGACATAGCTGGCATGGAAGGACGCTCTCTTGAAGCACACCCTAAACCAGATGTGCCTAAAGGCTATGCTCTTGAAACATACCAAAAAAGAGCTGAACCCAAGGAAGACAATACTGAACCAGATCAAGGAACAGCGGGGACTGAAAGCTTTCTTTCTAAAATACAACAAGAAATAGCTGTGCCTAAAGACCTTTCTACAAAAACATGCCATGAAACAGCTGAACCTGAACACTTTCCTCATAAAGCATATGAAGAAATTGCTGTACCTAAAGCCCTGTCTCAGAAGACAATCCAAGAAACACCTGCTCATGAAGAATGTCCATCTGAAATATACATTTACCAAGAAACATCTGGGCTTGAAGACTGTGCACCTGACATACACCAAGAAAAACAAGGGCCTGAAGACTGTGCATCTGAAATATATCAAGAAATACCTGGGCCTGAAGACCTCTCTACTAAGACATATAAAAATAAGGATCTGCCTAAAGAATGCTTTCCAGAAGCAGTTGGGCTCCAAGGCCAGGATCCTAAAGCACACCAGGAAGATGCTAAGGATGTTTATGCTTTTCCTCAAGGTAGGGGTAGTTTATAGGGAATAAAACAATGACATGTTTCCATTTATAATTAGAACACCAAATAGATATATCTCCCTCAGAATGGTAATTTATAGTCTTCTTTGACAATCTTAGGTTATTATCTCAAGGGGTATCATTAACATCATTGGCTAATTTTTCATTCAACTGATATCTTTTGGCACATTTCCAAAGAATTAAAAGAAAATAATTGAAAATATTAGTGTTCATAGTAGGTATTTATACAGGTATTTATACAACTATCCATTTTGGGAAGCTTTAGCCAGTGAAAAGAGATGAACCCAATATAGTTTAAAGGATAATTCAGTTTAGATTTACAAGAAAATTTGAATAAAGTTTTTCTTGAAAATTAAAATTTCCTAGCAAACAAAAGGCAAGTATATTCATGGTATAAGGTACCGAGGGAGATACAAAGGTGTCAAATATGATCCTTGTTACTAGGGTTTTTCACTTTTATTGAAAACCTTTTCTATCTCAGTATTTGTTCCTGAAAAGATTTCTTCCTAGCACAGCATTTTGAAAATAATGTGACATGCCCCGCCAGTGTGGCCCAATGGTTGAGCATTGACCCATGCACCAGGAGGTCACTGGTTCAATTCCTGGTCAGGGCACATGCCCAGGTTGTGAGCCTAATCCCCAGTGTGGGGCATGCAGGAGTTGGCCAATCGATGTTCTCTCTCATCGATGTTTCTGTTTCTCTCTCTCCCTCTCCCTTCCTTTCTCTCTAAACCAATAAAGAAAAAAGGAAAGAAGGAAGGAAAGAAGGAAGGAAGGAAGGAAGGAAGGAAGGAAGGAAGGAAGGAAGGAAGGAAGGAAGGAAGGAGAGAGAGAGAGAGAGAGAGAGAGAGAGAGAGAGAGAGAAAGAAAGAAAGAAAGAAAGAAAGAAAGAAAGAAAGAAAGAAAGAAAGAAAGAAAGAAAGAAAGAAAAAATAATGTGACCTTTCTCCAATTTGACTTGCCTCAGGGACATAACTGAGAATCTAGATTCTCTTTGTATAATACTATAGAGTGTACTATAAGAAAATGGGCTGAGACTGTCAGACCATAGTTCCAGGGAATTGTTTTCTAAAGAAATTCCTTTGATAGTTTAGTTGCTCTTCCTCCTAAAAAAGAGTGCAACACAATCATGGGCTTAGTAGGGTTCAAATAATGTTTTAAAAATCTCTGCCTATCTGCTAGGTTAAAAAAAAAAACTTTTAATTTCTACTTTTTTGATGACTAATGCTACTTGACATCTTTTCATGATTATTATGAATTTGAATTTTCTTTTGAGAATTGCCTGTTTGAATCCTTGTTTCATTTTAAATTTGGGGTGTCTATCTCTTTTGGCTGATTAAAAATCTCTTTAAATAATAGTTATTAAACCTCTACCTACATATAAGTTGTAAATATTTTTCCAGTTGTTTGTGGTTTAACTTTGTTTATAGTGGTTTTTGTCTTGTGTATGACAAAATCTTATTTATTTATTTATTTTTGTTAATCCTCACCTGAGGATATTTTTCCATTGATTTTTTTTTTTTTTTTAAGATAGAGTGGAAGGGAGGGAGGGAAGGAGGGAAAGAGAGAGAGAAACATCGATTTGAGAGAGACACATCAATTGGTTGTCTCCTACATGACCCCGACCAGGGCTGGGGATCAAACCTGCAACCCAGGTACACGCCCTTGATTGAAAATCAAACTCAAGACCTTTTGGTCCATGGGCCCATGCTCTAACCGCTAAGCCAAATATACGGCCAGGGCAATATATGATAAAATTTTAATTTTAATTTTAAGTTGTTCAAGCCTGTTAGTCTTTTTCTTTGTGGTTTCTGGTCTGTGTTCTGCTTAGAAAGGCCTTTATAATCCTAAGATTATAGGAATATTCTATTGTTTCTACAACATTCATGGTATTTTAATATTTAAATACTTAATTCATCTGAAATTTGTTTTTGTGCAAGGTGTGAGGTAGACTTATTTTCTCCAAGTGGATAGTCAATTGTAACAATACCATTTATTGAACCTATTTTTGTATTTTATTTGATTTTACAGAAACGAAAGAAACCCTGAAAGCACAAGAACCAGAGATACCAGCAATTCCAAACATTCCTCAAGCAACTCACCCAGAAAATGATGTTTATAGTTATGTTTTGTTTTAACAATGCTCAGTCATCACAGTTGTGCAACAAAATACACATTTTATTACATGTTATTTTTCTCAAAATATTGTAGAAATCTCTACAATAGTCTTTAACATTTTAATAGTGTTTTTTTTTTTTCATGTATAGACTATATTTGAGAGGACTAATGTGTTTTTTTAGGCTCTACCACATAGACAATATCCTGCAGTGTGTGTGTGCATGTGTGTATGTGTATGTATATATATATTGGGGTGAGAATAGCGGTGGAAAGAGACAAAAATGGGAAAGGAGAGGGCTGAATAATTAATTTCACCCTAAGAACTAACATTTCTTTGATTAAATTTTAAGAACAGAAAAATTAAGTCTGAACACTTAAAATTTGGGTGAGTTTTCTTGTAAACTTTGTTGAACTAATAATGTAACAATAGTATCAATTTTTTTTTTTTTTTTTTGGTACGTGCCCCTAGCGGGAACTGAACCTGGCACTCTCTGGTCTGCAGGCCGATGCTCCAACTGCTGAGCCAAACAGGCCAGGGCTAGCATCAAAATTTTATCCAGGCTTCAGTTGGCTTTTTAAGTTAAACAATTCTTATCATTCTGGGACACCAAGGATATTTTGGAGTGCTGAATGTAGTTTACTTGTGTATTTGAGTTTTGATTTTCTATTTTTACATATTTGTGCAAAAATGTACATTAAATAATTATTACATGCTTAACTGTGTGGCATGCATCATGGTAAGCATTTTGAAGGTTGGAAGACTTAGAACACATAGTCCTTGCCCACCAGGGGTTTAATCTAGTCTTATGGGGGACTAAAACCCAAAGCAAATAATTACAAAAGAAAACAGTAAATGCTAGTGCCATTTGAACAGTAGATACAATTAAGGGAATGCTCACATTTTGCTGGAGTGACCTGAAAAAATTAAACATGAATGGAGCCTTGAAAGATGGAGAGGATTTGTATTATAGGTGAGGATAATAGGATTACTATTGTATGTGACACAGAGAGGGGTGAATTCAGGTGTTCAAGACATTCAGTCTATGTGGAATAGCAGGCTAGTAAGTTAAAAATCTTGTATTATTAGAGTCCAGAATTTTGCATACTTAATTAAGAAATATATCACTTACTTGTTAGGGAATGGGGAACTAAATAAGACTTTTGAACAATGAAGTGGCAGTTTTAGTATTTTAGGAATATTTGTCTGTGATAATGGTCAGGATTAACTGAAAATGACAAAAGAGATTATGGGCAGGAGCAGACACTCTTCTGTGTGGGAAGAGGTCTGAAATCGCCCGGTATTTTTTTGGGTGGGGGGATTGTTTTCAGTTTTCCTTCGTTTGTGACACAGATTCTTACAAATAAAGTTTGGTTCGGCAAGGGCACAATTGCATAAGCTCTCCATGTAGGCACTCCATGTAAGTACTAGGCTACAGTGAAGAACAAGACAATCCCAGTCTATCAAGCATTCATGGTGTAGAATGGTGGTTCTCAACCCTCATGGTATATTAGAACCACTGGGGAAGATTTCAAAATTACAGATGCTCAGACACCTTCCTGGGGCTTCTATGCACCTGCCTAGGGTGACATCCAGGCATAGTCATATTTATTTTAATTACTTTTGCTTTAAATACTTTTTTGAGGAATAATTTTATAAAAAAGTAAAGATAGTACAGATGTTCCTGTATACCTCTCCCCCAGTTTACCCTAATATTAACATCTTACATAACCATGGTCCATTTTTCAAAACTTAAATTAAGATTGTTACATTTCCTTTACGTGAACTTCAGATATTATTTGGATTTCATTAATTTTTCTACTGATGTCCTTTTTCTGTTTCAGGATCCAATCTAGAATATAATATTGTATTTGGGGTATTTTAAAAGCTCTCCAGATGATTCTAATGTGCAGCTAGGATTGAAGACCACTGGTATAGAGGGAGGTTACAATGCTATTTCCTTCCTATTTGCCACACCTCCACCCACAAACTTTACCACCCCAGGATATATTAATTATACAATTTCTCATACCCCATTATATTACTCAAGTGACATATTGAGGGCAGCATATCATATGACAGTCCCTTATATCTAGATGGCACTTCAGAATTTATACTCTCAAATAGACTTTTTAATTTGATCTGTACAAGAGTCTTTGAGATAGGCTGGGCAATGATTATCATTCCCATTTTACAGATAAGGGAATAGCCTCAGAGAGGCTGGGCCGCTCAACCAAAGTCACATCTAACTTTCTCAGTGCTTTACATGACGGCGCTCAATCTTTGGAAATTTTGTCTCAATTTCCCCTGCCAGAGTGGGTCAAGATTAGAGGGGGAAAAAAATTAACTGATATCTCTAGCATTGCATTAAGATGAACCGTAAGAGATTTGCATATGTACAATGTACAGAGGAACAAGGATGGGGGAAGGAGATGGAATGAGGAATATAGAACATTAGAAGAAGGAGGAATCATCTCTCTCCACCTTTTAGGACCCTTTCTGCCTTCCCTCTTTACCTTACTCCCTATATACATACAACCTCTGCTGTCTCATTCTTCTCATTCAAACACCAGTGAGTATCTAAATATTTTCCAGTTTTCTTCTTGGCTTGGAACCTTGAGGTCACAGTCATAATTCAAGTTTTGAAAGAATATATCTAGCTCTACTTGGTGCTGCCTTCCTCTCATGATAAGTATAATAGTAGTTCTTTAAAAACCATGAACCCGCCCTGGCAAGTTTGGCTCAGCAGTTAGGGTGTGGGCCCACGGACCAAAGGGTTTTAGCAGTTTGATTTTGGTCAAGGGCACATTACCTGGGTTGCAGGTTCAATCCCAGCCCCAGTTGGGGCATGTGTGGGAGGCAACCAATCGATGTGTCTCTCTTACACTTGTGTTTCTCCCTCCCTCCATACTTTCCTCCCTTCCATTCTCTCTAAAAAAATCAATGGAAAAATATTCTCGAGTGAGGATTAACAACAACAACATAAAAATAAAAAGCCATTAACCCTATAATATTAAATCTAAAATGATGTGTGAGGTCCAAAACTTTACTTGATTTCCAAAGGGATCCTCCAGCCAAATGAAAGATTAAGAGTCATTAAACTGAGAAATTTTTCTCAAAGTATAGGCTGATGACCACCTATATTAAAATCATTTAGGTGTGTTTTTTTTTAAAGGCAGATTCCTAGCCTGGCCAGTGTGGCTCAGTGGTTGAGCTATGCACCAAGGAACCAACTGGTCCTGTCTATCTCATTATAGACAGGACAATAAAAACCTCAAATCATATATTAAAAATACTACATATTTAAGTTCCTGTTTTCCACAAACATAAATTTTACCTTTCCCGCCCCCGAGAACTTTTACCTTTAAAAGAGGTAGCAATTTACTCCACCAGTGTTTCCAAGTCTGCTCTGCATTTCAGTACCGTATTTTTGTGTGTGTTATTGCCATTAGATATATCTAAGGCCAGGAAGGCAAATACCTCTTTTTCTACACTAATCTGTCCACAAAATAAGGAAGACTGTCACTTTCCGCAGCACCACCATCTAGTGGCAAATACAGCTATTACCACCCCAGTTTTACAGTGTGTATTTAGCTAGTTGATTCTTAAACTTGTTTCTTCAGCTACACAGAGCTCTTTCCAACTGGAAACAGAATAATAACATTATTTTCCAAATTGTCATTTAGAGAAGACCTATCAGCGGACACATATATACATTTGATCAAATTTTAAAGTGCCTTTTAAAAACCACAATGTTCTCTTTAAATCCTTGGCCCTTTCTGCTGGTTCTTTTCTACTAGAGACCTATTAGTCCATGACAAATGAACAGGTTTAGAAACAGCTATTTTTTTTTTAATGGTTCTTAAGCTTTTAAATCTGTGGACCTGTTTGCTTTTGAATAATTTATATTGCAGGCAATATGTCTCCACCCCACCACCACACCACGTGAACCAACAGCATAAAAAGCCCAGAAACAGAAATATGAGTACAGAGAAACTTAAAATAGGTGAGAGACGAGGTTACAAGTGGGTAAAAGGATAGGCTATCCATGCAGGGATAACTGTTCATCGCATGGGGTGAAAAAGGTATTCTTCTTGGCCCTCAACTTTTCAGAGCTGTCCAGAAACAACGACCATAATCCCTTCAATGTAAATAGCATGTTGACTCTCATTCTCACTTTAGTTTCCTTGAGGTAGGAAACACAAGAAACAGTCCCCACTTCTTAACTCTTAATCCGGCATGGGGTTCCCCATCCATTTTATTTGCAATAAGATTTACTTGGGTTCCTTTCTGACAAATCATCATTTTTATTATGGGAAAATAGGAGCACATATACAAATATGACTGTATGGGTATTCCCGCCACCCAAGGAGAACTTTAAACATTTCCTAACATCCGATCATTTTGCTATGTGATGATTGCACATACACATTTTTTCTTTCGAAATTAGCGTCATGCACTGGATACGTTGATATCTTTTAAATCTTCCTTGACGTGCCCCCCTCTTCTTCCTTCGGCAAGAGCGGGAACTCGGACTCGCTGACTGCCCTGAAAGGGTAGGCAACGGCAGTGGGTCTGCACGAGACAGCTGAGACAGCTAGGACACCGGTTCGTAGAGCACCAGAGGATGACACACACCTCTGTACCGTTACAATAACCTCCAGGCTGCCCGCGCACACCACGCGCGCGCCCCACTTCCTGCGCTTGCGCCCGATACCGGCACCACCTTGAAGGTACGGCTACTGCGCAGGCGCCAGGCATGGAGACCGGAAGCGGAAGGCTAGAACGCGTCGGGTGGGCACCTCTGTTACCAGGAGCCATGCCCGGCTTGGAGGAACCAGGGCCACGCCCCACAGCGACCCCGTGCGGGTGCGTGAAGCCGGCTCTGGAGACAGGTAACTTCTGAGACACTGGTTGCTTCACAGTGGGAAGAGGCCTAGGTGTGGGCAGCTCACTTGACAGCAGAGAGGAACGGGAAATGCGAGCCCTGAATTAATGTGCGTCATGCTTGCTGCGAAGGCACGGGTCACGTGTTCAGTCGACCATGTGACGTGTCTGAGGCGAGCAAGATGACGTGAGCTCACGTTTTTTCTCGGTAGCTAAGGTCCGCCTGGGCTTGGCTCGGTGGCTGAAATAGCCACGTCCAGTGTGGCGGGCTCTTTCTTAGGGAGTTTTCGTTCATGCGGGGTAGATAGGATATCCACTGGTGTTATGCTGTTTGGAATTAGTAAATGCCACAAGCGAGAAGCATCCTGTGCTGTGGGAAGTGAGGAGGGCACGGGAAAGGCCAGTGGAGGAAATCGTTTTAAACTGGGCCCGGAAAGATGGAAATGAGTTTGCTTCTCTTTATTTTCTTCTCTTTATGTAGAGCAAAATATATTCACTTTAGAAAGTAGAGGAAGCAAGTGGAAGAAAATTTAAAGTAGTTGGCCATCACTCAGAGAAAACCACTGTTAATCTCTTGATGTCTACCTTCCAGACTTGTTTCACTGCATACACCCTAGAAATATGAGTTGATATATGACCCCACTGTTTTTTTGTTTGTTTGTTTTTTATCCACACCCGAGGACATTTTTCCATTTTTTGTTCAGGTAGAGTGGGGGTGGGGGGAGGAGCAGAGAGAGAGAGAAACATCAACGTGAAAGGAACACATCGAGTGGCTGCCACCCGCACAACCGACCAGGGCCGGGGACAAACTGCAACCGAGGTACGCGCCCTTAGCGGGAACCGAACCCGGGTCTCTCAGGACCGCAGGCCGGCTCTAACCGCTGAGCCAAACCGGCCAGGGCTATGACCCCACTGTTTATAAACTAAAACAAACAATCAATCAAAAATCTTAAGATTCATAAAAATCCACGGCAATTAGTTTTAATTTTAATGGTTACACTATTTTGTTTTATAGATGTCCTTTAACAAGTTCCCTTTTGTTGGGCATTTAGGTTACTGCCAGTTTTCATTGTTCTAAATGGAAGTTCTTGAAACTAAAATCTTTGTTTATGTTCTAAACGTTTGACCTAAATTTCCTAAAAGTACTGTTACCTGGTCACAGTTTGTGCTGATTTTTAAAAAGTTGCACACTGCCAGATTATGGGTCTAATGTTTTGACAGGCAGGAAAGAGCATGGCTCAGAGTTCTACAGAGGATGGGATTAGGGAGCTGTAAATCCCGAAGTATTGGGTGGAACAGGGAGTTTTGGAAACTGTTGACTGGATTCAGGTTGTAGAGAACCTTGAGCACCAGGCTAAGAAATGCACCATCTGTTAACAGTGGAAAACATGAAAAGTTAAAAGTGAGTAGCACCGCATAAGGAACTCAGTCTGGAGCATTAGTGTGTGTTTTGTGGAGGGGAGGGACTGGCAGAATGGAGACAAATGATAACAAAGGTGATTTAATAGTCCAGGCAAGAAGTGGAAAGGACCTGAACTTCTCTGCCTGCACAAGACTTGTAAGTAAACATTGTGTACAAGACCTTTACATTAATAACTTCTTGGTTTCTTTCTTATTACACAGTTGATACAGTTGTAATATTGTTAAAAGGAAGGAAAAGCCTGAGCAAGGGCTTTAGAAACTGCTCTTTGCTGAGCACCTTCTGCTATACTAGGTGCTTTATAGATTTTAGTAATCTTATAACTTTCCAATATAGGTATTAATGTATAAATGAGAAAACTGGCATTCAGAGAAATAAGCAGTTTTCGCAAGGTCACACAGCTAGTGTAGTGGCCCTGTGTTGTTTTTGTCTCTTTTCTGATATTAGTCCTCAACCTCCCATGTTACTTTAGGGAATCACTTCACCACATTTCCATGTGATTCTCTTGCCAGTACTACCCTGGCATACCTGTGTTTATCCTTATCCTGTATGCAAGGCAGTTTGATTTAATTTTGATTGTCATCTCTGTCAATGTACTGGACACCCTTGAGAGCAAGAGCTCTTTCTTATTTATGTCTGCACCCAGGCACTTAGCACAGCACTTAGATCAAATGGTAGGTGCTTAATGGTTTTTTGTTTTGTTTTTTATAAAGCGAGAGGAAGGAGATCAGAATTCCCCTGGGTGGATGTACTTAGACCTCTACTGCAAGTAGTGCATTCAAATAGCATTTATATTTAGAAAGTATTGAGCATTTGTATTTCATAGCATTTATATAATGCCAATAACAGGGAACAGAAATATATATAAATAAATTCCAGAAGATTCAGACATACTAGAATATGGTAAGTTTCCACTTGGTTATTAATGGACGTTTGATGCATTGAGAGTGGCCCCAAATTTTAAGAGTGATGTAGTTGAGGGAGCTCTACAACATAGCTCCTGAGTATGCTTTCAGTTAATTGCTAACCCAGTGTTATCTTGCTTATGTTCTTTTTTTATCCTCACCCGAGGATATTTTTCCATTTTTGTACAGATAGAGTGGGAGGGAGAGAGAGGAAGGGAGAGAGAGAGAGAAACATCGATGTGAAGGGACACATCGAGTGGCTGCCACCCGCACGACCAACCAGGGCTGGGGACAAACTGCAACCGAAGTACGTGCCCTTAGCGGGAACCGAACCCGGGTCTCTCCGGACCGCAGGCCGACGCTCTAACCGCTGAGCCAAACTGGCCAGGGCTTGCTTATGTTCTTAATAGAGGTGCATGAAGAGGAGTGGAATACATCTAACTGATTACAATTTATATTTATCATAGCACATGTGTAACCTGTGAAAAACAGATATAGACTGATTCAATGAAGTGGTAGCTCATTTAGCTATAATTTTGTAGGTTCCAAATCAGATAGTCAGGGACAGAGTCTTTGATCATTACTGCAGGTAATGAAAATGAAACATTGTGGCCCTGGCCGGTTTGGCTTAGCGGTTAGAGAGTTAGAGGGTCGGCCTGCGGTCCGGAGAGACCCGGGTTCGGTTCCCGCTAAGGGCATGTACCTCGGTTGCAGTTTGTCCCCGGCCCTGGTTGGTCATGCGGGTGGCAGCCACTCGATGTGTCCCTTTCACGTCGATGTTTCTCTCTCTCTCTTTCCCTCCTGCTCTATCTGAACAAAGAATGGAAAAGTGTCCTCGGGTGAGGATTAAAAAAAAAAAAAAAGAAAATGAAACATTGTGATACTTTCCCCAGCCAACTATTAACTCCACTGTGATAAGAGTTCCTGTTTTGTATCTTTTCCCCAAATTTAGCACAATGTCAGGCAATTGTAGATGCTTGGAAAGTGTTTGTTAAACAAATAAAAACGGGACACAGGGATCCCAGCTGATTAGGTTAGGAGTCCCTTTTGGCCATTTTTCTTCATGACATTTTAATGAATACCAGAGAATTGTTTGACCTCAGTTTCTTCATCGTTAAGATATTTACTATATCTGTTCCTTAGAGCATATATAGGGATAAAACAAAACAAAACAAAACAAAACAGGAGAGCATGCCTATAAACATACTTGGAAAAAATTTAAAATGAAAATGCCCGGCCAGTATGGCTCAATGGTTGAGCGTTGAGCCATGCCCCAAGAGGTCGCCAGTTCATTTCCCAGTTGGGGCACATGCCCAGGTTGTGGTATGGGCCTGCTCCCCAGAGGGAGGCATGCAGGAGATGGCCAGTTGATGTTCTCTCTCATCAATGTTTCTATCTCTCTCTCCCTCTTCCTCTCTCTCTAAAATCAATAAAGAAAAAGAAATTTAAACTAAAGAACATGTACATTATGCATAGGTCTTAGAATCATAATATTGAGAGGGAGAAAGCAAGTCTCAGAAGGTAACATAGTTTTAAACCAGTTTTTATAGCTCTCAAAGACAAATGAAATATTGTTTATTTATGCATATGCATATGATAAAATTATATTAAAAAAGGAACGAAGTACAGCCGGTTTGGCTCAGTGGTTGAGCGTCAACTCATGCACCAAGAGGTTGCCAGTTCAATTCCCAGTCAGGACACATGCCCAGGATCAGGTTGTGGGCCTAATCCCCAGTGGGGGGCACGCAGGGGACAGCCAGTTGATGTTCTCTCTCATTGATGTTTCTCTCTCTCTCCCCCTCTCACGTCCTCTCTCTCTAAAATCAATAAAGGAAGAAATAAAATTAAAAAACAGGAGTAAATGATAAAGACTACAGTCAGGCTCCTGTTTATCTCAAAGGAAAAGGAGGGGTGTGGGGTAGGAGAGAAGCAACATAAAAAGATGGAAGTTGTTGGTAAAGCTCTAGTTCTTGGGCTGGGTGGTGAGTGCACAGGATTTCAATAGTATGCTTTATTACATATGTATTACATATATTTTATATGTATCAATTTCATTTTTAAAGTGAAAAGAAATGAAAGGTTCTGTGAGGTACAGCTCCTGGCCTAAAGTCTTACCATCTGTGTTGGTAGGATAGATTTAATGAAAGCTGAACATAAAATGAGAATCTAAGGTATCTTTATATCATCCTTCAAAAGAAGTGAATAAAACCTTGATGAAATGTGAAAAAAATGGCCCTGGCCGGTTTGGCTCAGCGGTTAGAGCATTGGCCTGTGGCCCAGAGAGATCCGGGTTCGGTTCCTGCTAAGGGTACGTACCTGGGTTGCAGTTTGTCCCCGGCCCTGGTTGGTCGTGTGGGTGGCAGCCACTCCATGTGTCCCTTTCACGTCGATGTTTCTCTCTCTCTCTTCCTCTTTCTCCCTCCCACTCTATCTGAACAAAAAATGGAAAAATGTCCTCTGGTGAGGATAAAAAAAAAAAATTCTTGTGGCGTACCAGCTGAAAATCACTGGGATATAACAATGTGTATGTAAGGATGAGGATATTTATATATATTCATGAATACTGTAAGAATTATGTTCTATCATGATATAACACCTATAGATTTAGAAACTATAAAATCAGTGCATTAAAAAAACATGTTTTTCTACATCTTTGATGGCTTTTTGACTAATGGTTTCTTATCTAATTTTCTTCTGTAGGAAATCTTTTAACTGAACCAATTGGCTACTTGGAATCCTGTTTCTCAGCCAAGAATGGAACTCCAAGGCAGCCATCCATTTGTCGCCATTCAAGGGCTTGTTTGAGAATTAGAAAGAGCATCTTTAATAATCCTGAACATTCCTTGATGGGCTTAGAACAGTTTTCTCATGTTTGGTAAGTTATTTTACAGTTAGAAGTGGTACTTTGGACCAGAGTTTGCCCCTGAGTTAAAAGTATTCCAGTTGATGTACAACCACTGATGGAGGCAGCCTTGGAGCCTGCCATCCAGACCACCCTGTCTATTGCATGAAATTCCTATACTGTATTCGTACACATGATTGTCTGCATATTTTGGACAACCTGAGGGAAGCTCGGGATTCACTGAGGGATCACAGTCTATTTGCAGTTGGTTCTAATTTTGATCAACGCCTTTATGTTGAGTTGAAATCTGTAGACCTTCTCTATTCTGTCTATGGCTAGTCATTCTGTCCTCTACACTGAAAGTCAGCAAGCTGCGGCCATGGACCAAATCCAACCCACCGCCTGTTTTTGTAAATAAGTTTATGGAAACAGCCACATGGATTTGTAAATGTGCTACAGCAGCAGAGTTGAATAGTTAGAGCAGGGACTGGTTGGCCTGCAAACCCTAGAATGTTTACTATCTGACTCTACAGAAAAAGTTTGCTGACCCTGCCCTAAACTCATGAAGAATTAAATCTACTCTTTCTAAAAAACAGCCCTGGCTGGTTTGGCTCAGCGGTTAGAGCTTTGGCTCAAGGACTGGAGCGACCCGGGTTCAGTTCCCGCTAAGGGCATGTACCTCGGTTGCAGTTTGTCCCGCCCCTGGCCCTGGTTGGGGTATGTGGGTGGCAGCCAGTCAATGTGTCTCTCTCACTTAGATGTTTCTGTCTCTCTCTTCCTCCCCCTCTCCCTCCTGCTCTATCTGAAGATAAATGCAAAAATGCCCTTGGGTGAGGATAAAAACAAACAAACAAAAACAAAAGAGACCTTAGAAATCTGAATACTTTAAATAAAGCATTACCTATGTTAAAGTCTGTGTTATATTAGTGTTATTCTGAAATGGTCTAATTTTACTGGTGAAGACCTAAAATTAAGTGTCTATTCTGAAATAGTTAATTTTTTAATGTTAGTTTGGGAACATGGGTAGAGTAGAAAGAACATGGGTGTTCTGACCTATGTTTGATCTTTGTTGAATTATTTAACTTTAAAACATTGCTGATATATAAAAAAATGGACTCAGGAGAATATAAATTTTTTGTCTTTTTTTTTATCTTTATTGTTGAATGTATTACAGATGTTCCTTATTTTTTCCCCCATTGATCTCCCGTCCCCCTCCTGCCTTTTCCCACTCTGTTGTCAGTGTCCATTGGTTATGCACGTAAGTTCTTTGGTTTATTTCTTCTCACCTCCCCAACCCCCTTCTCTTTAAGGTTTGTCAGTTTACCAATCAATTTGTACTTCTTAATCCCTTCACCTTTTTCACCCATTTCCCCAACATCCCTCCCATCTGGCAACCAACAAAATGTTCTCTGTATCTATGAGAATGTTTCTGTTCTGCCTGTTCATTTATTTGTAGATTCCATTGTCGATAGATATGTATTCATTGCCATTTTGTTTGTTCATATATTTTATCTTTTTCTTCAAAAAGACCCTTCAACATTTCATATAATAACGGTTTGGTGGTGGTGAACTCTTTGTATGGACATCGATTATAAATGACAGCTTTGCAGGATAAAGTAATCTTGGTTGTAGGTTCTTGCTTTTCATCACTCTGAATATTTCTTGCCACTCCCTTCTGGGCCTGCAAAGTTTCTTTTGAGAAATCAGCTGACAGTCTTATGGGAACTCCCTTGTAGGTAACTAACTGCTTTTCTCTTGCTGCTTTTAAGATTCTCTTTTTGTCTTGGACTTTTTGCATTTTGATGATGATGTGTCTTGGTGTGGACCTCTTGGGGTTCATCTTGTTTGGGACTCTCTGTGCTTTCTGGACTTGTATGTCTGTTTCCTTCACCAAGTTAGGGAAGTTTTCTGTCATTATTGTTTCAAATAGGTTTTCAATTTCTTGTTCCCTCTCTTATCCTTTGGCACCCCCAAGATGTGAATGTTGGCACACTTGAAGTTGTCCCAGAGGCTCCTTACACCAACCTCATTTTTTTGGATTTCTGATGTGGATTTTTGCTGTTCTGATTGGATGGTTTTTGCTTCTTTATATTCCAAATTGATAGTTTGCTTCTTGGCTTTACCTACTCTACTATTGAATCTGTGTAAATTATTCTTTATTTCAGTTAGTGCCTCCTTCATTTCTGACTGTGCATCCACCATTTCTGACTGGTCTTTTGTAATGCTCTTGAGGCCCTCACTAAGTTCACTGAGGTTCTCACTAAGTACATTGAGCATCCTTATAAGCAGTATTTTCAACTCAGCATCTGTTAGGTTATTTATCTCCATTTTGCTTAGTTCTTTTCCTGGAAATTTTTTCTGTACTTTCATCTGGGACCTGTTTGTCTCCTCATTTTGGCGGCCTCCCTGTGTTTGTTTCTGTGTATTACTTAACGAAGGGTATGGGGCTAGCTGAGACCAGATGCTGCTTGTTTGAAAGAATTTAGGAAAACCTGAAGCAGGATCCAAGACAGGCCAATACTATGGTTAAGCAACTGGAAACAGCTTAGGTGGGCCTGAAAGTTGGGTGGGGCGGGGCCTCAGGGAGTCACCAGGGTGGGGCTACCAGTGTGAGCCAGGTTGCTGGAGTCCCAGATATGGCCGCTGTCTGCCGCCCCAGGGAAAGGCTCACCAAAGGAACAAAGGCCTCCGACAGCACATCTGTCCCGGTGAAAGCCCCCTCCACAGCCCTCCCTCGAGTGCCAAACAGCTCAGTTCTTCCCTGTATGTCTCTGGCGCCCCTCGAGCTGCCTCCCCTCCAAGCTTAGAGGGAGAGAGTCCTATAAGTTTGTGCGTGGGCCCTTTAGGGAGCTGTCTGGGGCTCCAGCTGCTTCAGCCTCCCTGAGCCTCAGTTCCTGCTGGTTTTTCCAGCCAGAAGTTATGGGGATTCTCTTCCTGGCACTGGAACCCTGAGCGGGGCACCTGGTGTGGGACAGGGACCCCTCAGTCCTCAGGGAGGACCTTCTCAGCCCAGGTAGTCTCCTGATTTTTATCCACCACACGTGAGTGTGGGACCAGCCCGTCTGCCTTCGCCCCTCCTACCAGTCTCGATGTGGCTGCTCCGTAGTTGTAGGACTTGCATTCAGCTGGATTTCAGGCGGTTCTGAATGATGGTTGTTCTGTAGTTTAGGTGTAACTTTGATGTGGTTGTGGGAGGACGCTATACATTTACCTACGCCACCATCTTGACTGGAAGTCTAAATTTGTTGACTTATCTCTCCTATTTTTTCATGGATTATATTTTAATACCATTAAAAGCATTATTTCTGTTTTAATTTGTGGAGATTAAAGTTTTTTCCCTTCAACTCATTATGATAAGTTAACTTATGCTTTTCTCTTACTCAGTGGTTTTGTTTTTCTTCAATAGGATTTTGTTTGTTTTTCACCAAAATGGTCATTTGAGCTGTAAGGCAAAAGTTCAGCCTCCTAGGCTGAATGGTGCGAAGGTTGGAGTTTTCTCCACAAGGAGCCCACATCGTCCCAATGCAATAGGACTGACCCTGGCCAAGCTGGAAAAGGTAGAAGGTAACAAGTGTAATTTCTGTTTTTACCTTTTTATTCTTAAAAAGTCTTATAAAAACAACATAGTGGCCCTGACTGGTTTAGTTCAGCAGTTGGAGCGTCAGCCCGTGGACCAAAGGGTCGCGGGTTTGATTTCGGTCGAGGGCATGTACTTGGGTTGCAGGTTTGATCCTTGGCCCTGGTTGGGGTTGTGCTGGAGACAGCCAGATGATGTGTCTGTCTCACATCAATGTTTCTCTCTCTCTCTCTCTCCCTACCTCCTACTCTCTTTAAAAATTAGTGGAAGCCCTGGCCAGTTTGGCTCAGTGGTTGAGCATCAGCCTGCGGACCATGGAGTCCCAGGTTTGGTTCCCGCTAGGGGCACTTACCACCAAAAAAAAAAAAAAAAAAAAAATTAAAGGAAAAATATCCTTGGGTAAGGATTTAAAAAATTAAAAAATCAACATAGTATTCAGCATTGGCTATTATTTAGATAAGTACCAGTGGTGTCAACCCCTGAGAACCATCAGACATTGAAGATAATAACATGATTAAAAGAATGTTGGCACTGAAACATTTTGAAATAAGCTTTCAGAGGTTACTCGGTGCTTGTTTATGTTGTTTCATTTATCAAAAGTTTAAATTATTTAAAAGTAGCATTTAAGTTTTCATAATCATTAAATTAGTAACCAGACTTTATCTGACTTGGAATGCAATAAATACAAAATACTCAAAAATAATTGGATGCTTTCAAAATTTAACGCACAGTAACTGGTTATACATGTATATGTGGTAAGCACATAGGATGGTAGTGTAGCTTCTTCCTTGCAGCCTAGAGGAAGTGAGCATGCATCATGGCTGCAGTGCATTCGTCAACTGATGTGTGGCAGAGGGTCTGGGATGAATCACACTATAGGATCAAACATCGGTCAGATTGTGGAAGTACCTGTGTAGAATACCAGATTAGTTTTGTTTTTGGTAGTGGTGGTGGTAATCCTTACCTTAGAATACTTTTTCCATGGATTTTTAGAGAGTAGAAGAGAGGGAGGGAGGATTGGGGGTGTGGGGGAGAGAGAGAGAGAAGCATCGATGAGAGAGAGAGACAGAGAGACAGAGACAGACATTGATTGGTTACCTCCGGCATGTGCCCCAGTCAGGGCAAGGGATCAAACCTGCAACGCAAGAACATACCCTTGACTGGGAATCAAAACTGCTAATAGCATCTAGCCAGGGGGTTGTCTGACTCCAAATCCCATGAACTGTTATCTTTGGTACAGTGCCTTTCTTCTGTTAGACAAAATCATTAAGAAAGTGCAAAATCATCTTTCCAAAATTCCAGGCTTAGTCATAGTAAGCATCATTTTAAAAATCAAAGTCCAGCCCTGGCCGGTTTGGCTCAGTGGTTAGACTGTCGACCTGTGGTCCAGAGAGACCCGGGTTTGGTTCCCACTAAGGGCGCGTACCTCAGTTGCAGTTTGTCCCCGGCTCTAGTTGGTTGTGCGGGTGGCAGCCACTCAATGTGTCCCTTTCACGTCGATGTTTCTCTCTCTCTCTCTGTTCCTCTCTCTCCCTCCCACTCTACCTAAACAAAAAATGGAAAAATGTCCTCAGGTGAGGATAAAAAATAAAAATCAAAGTCCACTAGTTTTTCTTAAATGGAGACAGAATCAGAATTGATCAGGTGCAGATTTTTATTCTCATTTAACCACTTTCACAAGGATCAAGTCAGTAGACTTCACACCAGTAGTAGTTACTAGATAGCAGCTGTGTAAGTGAGAAAGCAAGAGACCTGTCCTTAATATTTGGTAATGGTGACTGGTGTTCTGCTTAATTGAGTCTTTTTGGAGTATTATATTTCAATTGCTGCATAACAAAGTATGCAGGTATCTGTTTAAACAACACACATTTATGTGTTTGAAACATTATTATGTTTTTGTGGATCAGGACCTGGGTCCTCAGCTTAGGGTTTTCACCAGGCTGTAATTAAGGTGTCAGCTAGGATGAGTTCTTACCTGGAGGCTTGACTGTGGAAGAATTTGCTTCCAGGCTCACTCAAGTTGTTGGCAGAATTCACTTCCTTGTAGCTGTGGGTCTGAGGGCCTTAACTTCTTGTTGGTTGTTGGCTGGTGGCTGCCCTCAGCTCCTAGACACTGCCTGCAGTTCCTGCCACCCGGCCTTTCCCTGTGTGGCTGCTTACTTCATCAAGCCCACAGGAAGAGTGTCTTGAGTGAATCTGCCAGCAAGCACAGGAATCTTAGATAACATAGTATAGTCACTGGAGTAATACCAAATCAGACTCAAGAGGACAGCATGGTACGAGGCTGCGAACACCAGGAGTGGGCATCATGGGGGCCACCTTAGAGGCTATTTGCCACATGGAAACCCTCATCAGTCCCACAGAAATACACTGAGGACAGTGATGTACCTGCAACAGAGTTAGAAGCCCCAGTGATACAAAAATGAGTTGGTTTCAACCAGTGCTGAAGGGCTCACTGTCTAGGGACAGAGACTCTAAGCAGGTCATTACCAGATCATATGAAAAGGGCTCTAGGAGAGGTTTGTATGCAGGTTCCTCTGGAACCCAAAGGAAAAACCACTTAGTCTGGAAGAGCCTTGAAGAGCAAGTAGGAGTTTAACAGGTAAAGAAGAGGATGAGTTTCCAGTATATGTCAGCACCAGGTGTAAGAGAGCCTGGTACATAAGAGAATTGTGAGCAAGCTTGGTGAGGCATAGATTATTCTGGTTCTCCAATTATTGGCACTATTCTTCATTGTTATTATTTCTAAAAGATATTTTTCATATTATAGGTGGAGCTATATACCTTTCTGGAATTGACATGATTCATGGCACACCTGTACTGGACATAAAGCCCTACATAGCTGATTATGACTCGCCGCAAAATTTGATTGAGCCTTTAGGTGAGTGTAATTTGCAGAACAACCAATATAAACCAAAAACAGTGTCTCAGTCTGATGACAAGACTGACAGCTGTGCTCAGCAGCAGCTCTCAGAGTACGATGAACCACAACCCTGCAGTCACACTGAAGAGAAACCTAGTTGTCCCAAAGGCAGAACCTCAGAAGAAAACGACATGCAATGCAGTGATACAGCCAAAATGCAGCAAAGCTTGCCTAAACGCAGGGAGATAGCAGCAGACTTGGGTTTAGAATCGAGAAGTCATCGGAGACTAAGTATGGCAGAGGAGCAAACTGGCCCACATCACCTGGAGAAGAGCTCTTCAGAGGAGGGTACAGATAAGAGGCCAAGGAGAGGGAAAGAAGCAGTGGCCCCCCAAGGAAACAGTGTGGAAGTGCAGCCCTTGGCTCTTCACTGCCCTCCCAAGATGGCTGGCGCAGCCCACCGCAGCGTGGTTCCCGCCTGGGTGCGAGAGGCCCCTGTGGCCACCTTGGAAGTCCGGTTTACTCCTCATGCAGAGATGGAGCTTGAGCACCTTGGTTCAGAAGGTAAACCAGGTACTTTCCATTTCTTATTTCTGAATGAGAGATGAGCTTTTACTAGGAGATTTCCCAAATTTGGTGTTTATGTGGGCCAGGTCTTTTAGCACAGAAACTGTTCCCATAGTCCCAGCACTAGAGACATGCACTTTATTGCAGAAATAAAGAGAGACCAAAGGCCAAAGGGCCTTTACTTGGAACCTGTTTATTTATTCATTTATTTATTTATTTTTAAACATTTTTTCTTTATTGATTTTAGAGAGAGAGGAAGGGAGAGGAAGAGAGACAGAAACATCAATGAGAGAGAACATCAATTGGCCGCCTCCTGCATGCCCACTACTGGGGATCGGGCCCACAACCTGGGCATGCGCCCTGACCAGGAATCGAACTGGCGACCTCTTGGTGCATGGGTCAACGCTCAACCACTGAGCCACACCGGCTGGGTGAAGCTTGTTTACTCTAACACATGGTTCTTAAAAACATTGTTACCTGGTTTCTCCAGCCCACAGCAGATCCCAAGCAGCCATCTAGAATGAAGGACAGAGCTGTTAAGAGGTGGGTGCAGTGGTTCCAGTAAGAAGTAGCCAGTTATGAACGAGATGCCAGATTTTATCTGCCTCTGGAGGGTTATGCCTCTCATTCTTTCTTAGGACTTTATGTTTAAACAAAGCATTTGATGTTTAAATTGATCTCTTTAAAGTTTTGTTTATGAAAGTTATTTTATCACTCTATGCAGTTGATTGGGAGGAGGAGGTTCAGTTTTAAAAGGATTTTTGTTGTAGAACAAAACAGTGCTGCCTAGAAGATACTGTATATTTATACTTACTCCTTGTCTTGTGGTTATTTTTGAATGCTTCCTACTTTGGAGAGTTTTCTCTTTTTCAAACTACAGTGTTGTACTTTCTTGACTAAAATGCTTAAAAAGAAATTACAAAATATAACTATAAAACAGGGATTGATTCATAACAGACAGCAGAATTTAAGGCCAGAATAGAAATAAGAAATGACCTCATAAAGTTCAGAGTCTAGGAAAGATGAAAGATACTGACACAAGGGGAGGGAGACTGGCACTGGAATAGAATGCTGTGGGAACATGAGGGAGAGAAGGGTTCTGACTTGGGCAGTGGGGAGATAATCTGGGAAGGCTTCCTAGAGGAAAAGGTATTTGAGCTGAGCCCAGAAGGATAAGTAGGCAGGGAAGTGAGAGAAGGCACCTTTGCCAAATGAACAGCTTGGAGCTTCTACCAGACACACTGTTAATGAAATGTATGATTTTTTTGTTTGTTTGTTTTCTTTTCTTCTTTGTTGTGTGATGTTTTTGGAACTCTGCTGTTTTGAGTGGCCTTAGAGTAATTTTCTGACTCATGTAACAAAGGAATCTTAGCACTGTGTAACTGGTCTTTGGTATTTGACCAAAAGTTGAACTTCATGGCTTTACTTACCAACTTATTTATTGGATACAGCCCAGAATGAATTTTGGCTGTATTCTAAAAATTGAATTTACTTTCAGAAGAATATAAATCCACAACCACTCTAGATATTTTGAACAGGGACAACGTTGTTTAAAGCACATGCCTTTCTGGAAGGGCCCGGCCTTCTTTTGAATGTATATATTATGTTGTAGTTATTAATAATTAGGTCACAGTTTTTTTAATTTGACTATTTTTAAAAATTAAAATATCTACAATGCCATAAACGTAGGAAGCTTTGCCATTTGGCAGGGTAAACATCTGTTTGCCTGAAATACACGCCTGTGTGAAATGGGGTGGCCTGTTCTTTAGTGATGGCATTGAACTTTCTCAGTGTATCTGTTTCAAAGTTTTCACAAGGACTCTCTCATGTCCTTGTTCCTTAAAGAATATGGCATCACTTAACTGTAGGCTGTGACACCTGCTCTCTGAGGCAACCTCCCTTGCCTGGGTATGTGTGGGTTTAGTCCTCTTTCTTGTGGCTTTCTGAGAATGCTGGGCCTGTCATCTATTTCCCTGACATGCCTCCGTTTCTTCTGAGAAGAAAATGACAAGGAATTGAATTAAAGCCTACACTGAGCACAGAAAAGTGACAATTAGGTTGCTAGAAAACAAAAGCTCAGCCCTCCTATTAGGGGACTAAGGAAAAATATCACCATGATTTTTTTGTTCAGCAAGTGAAAATTTGGAAGATACATAAGTTTAATGACACTTGGAAGCTTCCTGGAGGAAAAGGTATTAATCTAAATACCACTGGAAGGTGACATTCTCTGTATTGACTGAGTAGATTTTCCAGCCCTCTTCATTTCAAGTAATATTCAAGGGACTAACCCAACTCCTCAATGAAGTTCACTGTAGTAAAATTTGACCTGCGTGATTTTGAACGTTAAATTGTATTGTTCTCATTGCAGATGTTGGTCGGGCTTCTTTTAAGTATTTTCAATCAGCAGCGGAAGCAAGGCTTGCCATTGAGGCTGTACTGTCCGCCGACCCTAGGTCTGCATATCGACGGAAGCTCTGCCAGGACCGCCTTTTCTACTTTACTTTAGACACAGCGCACGTCACTTGCTGGTTTGGTGATGGCTTTGCAGAGGTTCTAAGGATCAAGCCGGCTTCTGAACCTATTCAGATGACGGACCCTGTGGAGTCCTTGGTGTCTCTGGGATCGTAAAGTAGCTTCCATCACATCTTTAAGACAGCCTATTTGACTTTGGTTGTGACTGGGTGGATTTTTTGTACAGGCTAATGATGTGCCTTCTTTGCAGAAAGAAGTAACACTTTGTGGTCTCACTGCTTTGATTGATTTGAGTTGTTCAAATATTTATTTGAAAAACATGTATTTTAATAAACAGATAAAATTAAAAAAAACTGCCACAGATGCTTCTTGATTGGTAAATTTTGAAGAATCCAAAATGATGCTGTCTCAGTGATTTCTGAAAGAAGCTGATTGTTCTTGGCACTTGATAAAATTGGGCAGAGATCATTTTAGCAGGGACTTTCAAGCTGAGGGGACCTGTTCAACAATTCATCCTGGTTTTCCTGTTTGGAAAAGCCTGACCTCTCTATTTCATTCTAAGTCAAGCTGAGTTACTATATCTTAGGAAATTAACAGATCAAAAACAAGTGATTATAAAGATCTTTAGAGCTCTGGCAGGTTTGGCTTAGCAGTTGGAGCATCGGCCTGTGGACCAGAGAGTCCCGGGTTCGGTTCCTGTGAGGGGCATTTACCAAAAAAAAAAAAAAAAAAAGAAGAAGAAGAAGATCTTTAGAGATTAAACACCTTCACTTCAGACACTGTCTCTCTCACACACACGTGTATGTATATATATTAATCCTGATTCCAAAATAGAGACTCAGATTTTTTTTGTATAAGAAAAGTCACCTCACCCTGACCAGTTTGGCTCAGCAGTTAGAGCGTTGGCCCATGGACCAGAGAGTCCCAGGTTCGGTTCCCACTAAGGGCATGTACCTTGGTTGCAGTTTGTCCCCAGCCCTGGTTGGGGTCGTATGGGTGGCGACCACTCAATGTGTCTCTCTCACGTCGATGTTTCTCTCTCTCTCTTCCTCCCTCTCTCCCTCCCACTCTATCTGAAGATAAATGCAAAAATGTCCTCAGGTGAGGATAAAAAAAAAAAAAGAAAAGTCACCCCCAGAAAAGAAAATAACTTAATTACTGGTTTGTTTCTTATTTATTCTGTGACTGTCTTTTGGGTTAGATTTTGGTGATATGAGATGAACAAGATGCAGTTCTTATTGCAAATTATAGTTAATGAAGGAAGAAGACACAAGGACTTTGTCATATTATAGTTAGATAAATACAGTAATTAAGTCTGCATATACCTAGTTCCTGTGTAGTACCTACCACGTAGGAAGCAGTTGTAAGAATATATTGCCTATAAGTGATTTTATTGATGTGACCTCAGATAACAAGATTTATGGTCAGTATAATCAAATTAGATAGTTATAAAAATGACTAATCATAATTGTAAATCTTAATAGCTGATTGATCATGGTTTGAAATGAGCCCTGCTGCCTGCACATACCTGCACAGAGTCATCTGTGACTGATGGCACTGTACTCTTGAATCAAACTGGTTGTCTTTGAGGTTACTTAGAACGTCGTGGGGAAGTATCTTTACTTTGATTTTTAAAAACTTTTTATTTTGAGATCATAACAGATTCACAAGAAGTTGCAAAAATAGTGCAGAGGTCCCAAGTACCCTTCACCCAGCTTCTAGTTGTGGTAGCATCTTACATAACCATAGTATAATGATAAAACTAGGAAGTTGACATTGATATAGTCTATCCTAAATTTTGACTTTGATGTTTTTCTCTTAAAATTGTTTTGAGACTGAATCAGGGCTTGAAGCACAAAATGTTGATACTTAATATGGAAAAAATAAGTTTGAGGATAATACCAATCAGTCTTCTAGCAAGAAGACTGTTCAGTTTGGCGTTTTAATATACATACTCAAACTTTATAACTAAAATCCTAAATATAATCCAGCTTAGTTCTCTCCCAGCTTACCGATCTCTTCAATATTCCTGGTGGTTGACCTTCTAGCCCCTACTTAAACCCCTCAGTGATGGATCTTTCACCCCTGTCCTCATTATGTATGGACAGTGCTCATTATTAAAATGTCCTTCTTCTTCTTTTTTAAAAATCTTTTTAAACATTTTTATTGATTTTTTTTTAAGAGAGAAAGAACATCCATCAGCTGCTTCCTACATGCCCCCTACTGGGGATTGAGCCTGCAACCCGGGCATGTGCCCTGACCAGGAATCGAACCGGGCAGGACCTCTCAATCCACTGAGCCACACCCGCGAGCTAAAATGTCCTTCTTTTATATGGGATTAAGTCTGTTCTTCAGTAACTGGATTAAGTCTGTTCTTCAGTAACTCCACCCTCTAGTACAGGGGTAGGGAACGTCTGGCCTGAGGGCCGTATCAAAATCAATACCAGCGTCACACGCATCACCAAATTAGCCTGATCAAATATAGCAGGATAATTTTTAAGTTGATAATTTTGTATGGCTCTGGAATAATGTTGCAAATATCCAGATGGCCGTTGGCAGAAAAAAAGGCTCTCCACCCCTGCTGTAGTGGGACCACATAGCATACGGCTAATTTCATTTCCACGTAGGTACCATTCCAGCTTCCCACCCTTCAGTCCTCTCTTATGTGAGCACCCCTATTTTCTTCAGCTGTTTCTCACATAGTATTTTTGAAAGCCTCTCTCCACCCTAGTCCTTGAGACCCCAATGTCCTGTTGTGAAGACATTTTAATCTCTAGGTCTTGAACTTCCATCCCTCAGAAAGAAAGTAGTTTTAAGCAAGTCTTTTTTTTTTAATCCTCACCCAAGGACTTTTTTTGCATTTATCTTCAGATAGAGTTGGGGGGAGAGAGGGAGGGGAAGAGAGAGAGAGAAACATCGACGTGAGAGAGACACATCGAGTGGCTGCCACCCGCACAACCCAACCAGGGCCGGGGACAAACTGCAACCGAGGTACATGCCCTTAGTGGGAACCGAACCCCGGCCTCTCTGGTCCATGGGCTGACGCTCTAACTGCTGAGCCTAACTGGCCAGGGCTAGCCTTTCCTTTTTGGTGCCTGTAGGTGGAGCCCTTGATAGCTGATTATTTTAACTAGCTTGAAGATAAACTCCAGGAGTTTAAGCTGTTCAGGTAGTTTAGGTTTACTGCCCTCCTGCCCCAGCTTTCAGCACAGTAATTTCCACAAGAGATATTGATGCTTGTCAATCACATATAGGAAGATTTTGGAAGGATGAGTGTCATTTATTAATTTTTTTAATTGGAACTTGGTTTAAGGGATGGGATACATTGTTCTAGCATGTATACAAAACCAAGAAGACTCCTTATCCAAATCTATAAGCATGTGTGTACAAGTCAATCATTGTGTTTATGTTGGTGACAGTTTTCTTTGAAAAGAAGAAAATGAAGATGAAGAAATGAATTCACCTCTTGTTGATAGTTTTCTTTTTATGATATGGTCCCAAAGAAGGCAGACGATGATATAGTCTCAAAGAAAGCAGATGAAGATGCAATAATAATTAAATTTTGTTAGTTACTGAACCTTTGTCATGTCTTTGGCACTGGACTACATGCTTTTCATACATTGATCAGAGGTTAGGTCACATGCTGGAGCTCACACAATTGGTCAGCATGCATCGAAAATGTCAACCCACCCAGTCTTGCCCCAGAGTTGGCTCCCTTTCTTGCTTGACTCTACTGCCTGTGCAGATGTAGATGCTCAGCAAACCCAGCTGGTTTATTTGAAGATCATTCATTCCTTACAAGCCACTTTACTTAGAGTGATGTTCATGGGAACCTGACCACTAACTGAAGAATAGAGAGAGGAATAAAGGCAGAAATGTCCATTCCCATCAGATCTGCATAGAACCTCCTGGGAAGCAGGGTGGGAGATGTGGAGAACACTAAGTTTGGCCTCAGAAACTTCAAGTACTAGTTTCTGCTCTGCCCTGTGCTAGCTGTGTGACCTTGGGCAAGTCACTGCATCCATCTCCAACTTTCTGACCTCACAGAGTTGTTACAAGGGTAATGCTTGGGAGAATTTTTCTAAACTCTTAAATGGTCTAAACTTAGGTAATATTTTTATTGGGCCTACAATCATTAAAACCCTTTCTTTACTACTTTGCTCCAGTTTGGACAAGAAGACTCAGGGGAATCAAGGGGTCCGTAAAATCTAATGTATAGGTGCCTCTTTTTTCTTTTTTTGAATTACAGAAATGTATATATACATATATATATGTGTGTGTGTGTATTTTTTTAAAGGACTGCTTTTTTTTTTTTTAATCCTCACCCGAGGACATTTTTGCATTTATCTTCAGATAGAGCGGGAGGAAGAGAGAGAGAAACATCGATGTGAGAGAGACACATCGAGTGGTTGCCACCCACACGACCCAACCAGGGCTGGGGACAAACTGCAACCGAGGTACGTGCCCTTAGCGGGAACCGAACCTGGGTCTCTCTGGACCGCTCTAACCGCTGAGCCAAACCGGCCAGGGCTAAAGGACTGCTTTTTAGCAAGTTATAGGATCTTTTGCTAAGGGAGATATCGCAAAGTGTCCCCACCTTAAGGACCTAATTGACATTATGCCACATGCCCAAGGCAACTTCTTCCCACCTGTTTCCCTTCTGGGCTTGCGCAGGTACCATGAACTGCCCATGCATGCAGTCACCAGCTAGGTCCCTTTTTCACACATCATCCTTTTTAGCACCCTTTCTGTTCTCTTCTACCATCTCTCCTGATTTCATCCCAGATATTTCGGGAAAATTTTGCATTTTTTAATAAGAAAATAAAGCTGTAATCATGGTGTGAAAAGTATATTGAGGTAAGTTTAACCTCTGTGACAGAAAAAAATCAAGTCATAAGGATTAAAGTTCAATGAACTGTAATAGGGAATTTTTTGTCATTGTTAGGGAAATAAGGTTCCTAATCTAGATAGTTAGAAATGACTCTTCAGCCCTGGCTGGTTTGTCTCAGTGGTTAGAGTATTGGCCCGGGGACTGAAGGGTCTCAGGTTCAATTCCTGGTTGAAGGCATGTATCTGGGTTGCACGTTCAATCCCCAGCCCCAGTCAGGGTCATGTAGGAGGCAACCAATCAATGTGTCTCACATCGATGTTTCTCTCTCTTTCTCCCTCCCTCCCTTCCACTCTTATCTAAAAATCAATGGAAAAATGTCCTTGGGTGAGGATTAACAACAATAAAAAAACTCAAATGACTCTTTAGCATCCTCTCTATTCCACCCTGCCCCTTCTCTGCCTGTATAAGTTCCAGCAGGTGCA